TGTTCGTGTGTGTGCGCGTGTGTGTGGACGGTGTTGCACCACTTTGATATTATTTGGCACAACTATCAACAAGATAATGTTGCATATAACAAAGTCCATTAAGAAACTAATGTCAAACCCAGCCCACAATTTCATGGAAAACATGAAACAAGACACACACAGACACACACACACACAGACACACGCAGACACACGCACGCACATATATGTGCATGACTACTTGTTTGGAAGGTCTGTGACCACTCGCAGTCAGTTGCCACCCTCATCTTGAGTGTATCAAGATGGCAATAAAACAATCATTTGCTATCAGCCTGCTATGAGTTTGCAACTGAATGGGGTCAAGTCGGCAATTATATGCAGTCTGTGATGATACGGCAATTAAATGTGATACATTGGCAAAGAGCAGGCACAGAAATTTGCATGAACTAACTCATATTCAGAGTCCATTCAGAACCTCATTGATTTGAAGCAGAAATTCAAATATTTTTCCAAGATTGGTGACATCACATAGGTGCTCTGCAACCTAGCTTTTATGCAGAAATGTAACCAAAATGCAACCAGATGGCAACCTATTGCAAACAGACACGCTGCATATGAGTTGCACTTAGCAGCGTAGGCTGACCGACCGCAGCGTGTTGCCAATCATCAAGCAATCATCAGTTTTTTTCTAGTTGCAAGGAGTTTGCTATCTTATTTTTGCTCTGGTGTGACTGAGCCATAATGGATCCAAGCTTTAAAGAAATGCAAATGAGCTACAGCTATAGTTGCAAATAGACAAGCTGGAACATTAGTACAAAAATGTCACTGTGGATACACATCTTACAGTTTCAGAGAGCAGAGATTGTCTTATAACCTGCACGTGCTTGATGTTTGTGAAGCTCGCAGATTAAGCAGCTACTAGATAAAGATTTACAGTGAATACACACACACACACACACACACACACACTAGCGGGAGAAGGTTTTTCAGCATTAGTCCAGGTGGTGTATGGGACCATGTTGGGGGAGGGTGCTATAACATTACTCTCCATCAGCTCTGACATAGGTGGGATCATCAGCCAGGTGTGTGCAAGCCCTGCGGTACAGGTACACCTCCCCCACCTCTCTCTCTCTCTCTCTCACACACACACACACACACGCACACATATAAATACAGCCACCCCTCCCTTGCCCACTTAGTAGACTCCTTCACCTGATGGCCAGGGTGCTGAGTCGGAGGAGTCTGTGTGTATTATTATGTGTTCCAGGCACAATGAAGAGAGAGGGTCTGTCAGTTGCCACCTGTTGGCCAGCTGTCAGGGTCCCATTTCAGGGTCATCTTTCCACGCAGTAGTTACATCTATCTATCTATCTATCTATCTATCTATCTATCTATCTATCTATCTATCTATCTATCTATCTATCTATCTTACCTGCAAGTGACATAAGTTTAATTTACTCCTATCAGGCCCGAAAAACCAACCAACCATTACGACACTACACAAGGAGGTGGAGGAAGAGGAGGTGGGGGGAGGTTCAGGGAGCACCGAAGGGGTATCTAAATGTGTCTCGTTTGATGCTGATCAATGGGTCGCAGATACCACCCTCTTCATGTTACATTACCATCTCTATGGGAGCCTTGATGGAGAGTTTGAGGGGTGGGGGTGTGCAAAATGGATGGATGGACTAGAAAAACCAAATGATGAATGAGTGATGGAAAAAGGGAGGCATGAAATGAGCATGAGGTGGAGGAGGAGGTGGACGTGACAGGGGTTGGATTGGAGAAGGGATAGGTGCAGAAGTGTGTGTGCGTGTTTTGCGGGGGCGGGGGGGTCGTGAGAAGGGAGAGATAATTTCCTCTGAGGAGTCTGAGTGGTGAGGTTGGGATGGGGAGGTGGGCAGGGTGGTGGTTGTTGTTGGGCGGGGGGGGTAATGGCTTTGGGTGCTGCCTTAATTACACCAAGCAGCCAGTAGATGACAGAATGAGATTATTTTTCAGGAATTGTACACAGGGTCATTAACTTGTCACTATTAGTTGCTCAACCATACAGCATAGACACAACACAGAAAAAGGAGATCATAGGAGACGTCTTATAGTATAAAATCACAAATCACCACAAAGTTTTAGTTTATGAAATTTAAATAAGCCCATAGAGAAAAAGGAGGTTGAACTAGGCGCCTTCTTCGTGTGAGGCAACAGTGTTACCCATTTATCCACCCACTGTGCCACCATGCAAAGAGTCCAAACAGTTCCAACTGTAGAAAGTGTGCAAACAAAGCAGTTCAGTGATTTTTTTAGCTACTTATAGTGCTAAAGTTTTATTTCACTTAAATGCTACGTATAAAAATCTCAACTCGGTTACTGGCAGTCTCGACTTGATCAACGTATAATCAAATTAATTAAAAAAAAAAAACACTGCAAGTTAACACAATCTGCTGGTGATTACAAAACAACAAACAAACAAAAAACAGCCTTTGGAACAATAGGTTTGGGGTTTGAATCCTGACCACGGCATGCCTCCAGTAACTGTCCCCTGGCTAAGTCCTTCATGCTACTCAAGCTTACTTTGGGGTATGATTGAGAGACACATAACTGAAGCTATACCGGCTCAGTTGTTGAGGAACCAGGACACCACACCAGGCAGGTCTCCAGATACAGGGTGTGCAAAGATACCCCTGAGACTATCCAGCACATAACAGCAGGGAGCAAGAGGCTAGAAGCAGGGCATACATGGAACACCAGAACCAAGTGGCTGGCATAGTAAAGGGGAAAATGGGAGTCAAAATGGAAGATGGCCCTAGAAGTTCCACGGGATCTTTGCTTGGTTATGGTCAACCACCCTAGGTTGACCATAACCAAGCAAAGATCCCGTGGAACTTCTAGATACAGACAGACAAACCAAGTGATAGTGATAGAAAGTGACAGCAAGATCAGGAAGAAGGAAGAGGAGAAGCTGGGGAAATAGGGTGGAGGGTGAAGGCAACAGTGGTCTCAGTGGTAATCGCAGCAGTCGGGGCAGAAACCCCAAACTGGGCCAGTGTCTCCAGATCCCCGGAACATCCAAGATCTCGGTCCAGAAGAGCGCAGTCATAGGAACAGTAAAGATAATGCGCAGGAGTGGGGAACTTTCTTTCTTTTTATGCATTCATATATAATTATTATTTGTTTGTTTCTTATAATTACAATTCAATTTAAAGTCCATTTAATTACTGGGGAATTACACCCTTGCACAGGCTGTATTATGAAGCATTACTGTTTTTTCTTTCATGCTTGCAGAACTGGCTTAAAGCAGCTAATCAAGCCGGATTTTGATCAAATATGAGATTTTTAGATCAATTAATTAATTGTCAATTAATTAATCCTGCATTCCTGACCCAATTGCATATTAATAATATTAAGAGAATAGGACAACAATTATCACAACACCAAAGTCAACTCCAGCTAGTCGTACAAAGACGACTTCTGCTCCATTGTGTATGCAGATCAGTGTTGTCTGTGTTTGTGCCGTTTGTCCTCTCAGCTCCTCTCTAGCATAAGTGCGCACTTATTTAGAGTCAATTACAGACAAGACTTAATGAATGCCAGAGCAATCACACGTGTGTATGTGCATGCAAACGCCAGCATGTGCGTGTGTCCGTGCGCGCTCAAAGAGAGGAGGAAGAAAACGTCGGCGTCAACAAGCCCATCGGTGCAACACGCAGTGAGCATCAGGGGCCGCAATAAGCGCTCTGCACGCTGATAAACCTTCTGCTTGAATTAATGACATTCAAATCCCCGAAAACACCACAACAGCATTGCTGTAATTTGAGCTTCGCACCCTCAGCGGCGGTCATGTTGCACCCCAACCTGTAAGTTATTGGTCTCGGTTTGCCATCTATTGGCCGTTCCCCAAACGCAGCAAGACTTCTATTTGTCCGGCTCTGACCAGTGTTAAGAAATTAGCCATCAGTATTTAATGGTGTTTATAGTTTCAGTGTAAAAGGGCACTATTATCATTGTCGGCTTACGTTATTGCACTCACAAGGCATCACATCTGATTTGATTCTTTCTGCGTGCCCAAGAGAGGGTTACTGATTATCTGACAAACCGAAAAGGTCAGTTTATATGCCAATTTCATTATGATATACCATACTCAGAATTTTAAAAAGAATCTCTTCTGTTAGCAGTAACGTAAAGTAAAATATCTATATTCACTGAAACAAACAAAAAAAGTGTCTTTGAATTCTGTGTGAGTGATTAATGATGTTAATGTATTAAAAACACAACTTCAAAGTTAAGAAATAAATGTGCAAAATGACAGAAAATGATCTGGTAGCTCATTGGCCAGACTGTCCTGTAATTATAAAACAAAGTTTCTGTGTTAACTCACAGAAAATAGCCTTTTTTGTGTATTTGTTGTAAATAAATATACATTTATATAGTCAGCAGTGAAAAAACAGGAACTTTTTTGTTATTTTATTGTTTATATTACTTGATTACTGTGGTGCAATATGAGCAGCTGTGGTGGTGGGGATGGGGCAAAAATGCGGCTTTTCCAAAGCCATTCAGCGGACCAGATTGGAGTCTTTTCCAGGCCAGTTCTGCCCCTGGTTGTCAACCGTGGTCTAAAATGGGGAGGGGGAACTCCAGGCTTCAACGGCTGGAGTCCTGCAGGTTTTAGATCGCACCCTGGGTCAACACACCTGAATCAAATGATTAGTTCATTACCAGGCCTCTGGAGAACTTCAAGACATGTTGAGGAGGTCATTTAGCCATTTAAATCAGCTGTGTTGGATCAAGGACACATCTAAAACCTGCAGGACACCGGCCCTCGAGGCCTAGAGTTCCCCACCCCCTGGTCTAAAAGATCTGTGCGAGACACAGTCATTCATGACAAAAACCACAGACACAGTGGGCTCCAGTGGTGCAGTCTGGTAGCGTGGAGTACTAACTTATGAAGCAATGCTGAGGTTGTGAGTTTAAGCATCAGTCTCTGGCTATCTGAGAACAGACAACACACAGTCACGGATTTTGTCCTCTTGTGTTCATTGCCAGGTAGCTAAAACGCCACCACTTTTAATAAAACACACACACATACACAAATTCACCTTTTAACAGCTTCCTACAATTGAGCGCACCTGTTTTTGTTTTTGTTGTTGTTTTTTGAAAACATATATATATATATAAAAAAAGAGGTGAATATTAAAAAAACAGAACATCCATTTGTGACTGGAGTGCTTTAAAGGCTGTGGTTTCCAGAGTGGTAAACAAATAAACAAAAATGGCATTCCAGCCTCCAAATACTGAAGTAAAAAACATATTTGACATGATTTGTGTCTGAAAGCAGTTTCCACAGACATTAAAGTCAGAGGCTGTGCTGTATCAGTAAGGCACGCTGATGAATTTAGAGCCTCGTGTCCTTAGAGTTCACGGCAGAGCGTCCAGGAAGCTGTGACTGCTGGGTAAAAAGTACCAAATAAAACTTCCATATGGCCACTAAGGTGTACTGTTACTGGCCAGTGCAAGTGGACATTGATTAGCCCAGGACAACATCAGTCACACACAGATCAGTTATTAGTCCATTGTTCTCCTTGTTTCCATGCATATTGATATATTCAGTCAAACTCCTGAAGGCTTTCATGCATGATGTTTTGTATATTGAAAAAATACATCTGGAATTCACCAGTCCGTACAAAATCTAGAAATACTGATCGTTTTATCAGTCGTAAGTGCTACCAAGCACCATTTCACACATCCTATCTTATCAGTGGACATCAGCTTGGACTCCAAGGACTAACAGTCAGAGGAGGTGTGCGTTTAGGTCGTACTTCTCGCAGAACTTGTCTGTGATGGGGATGCAGGTGAGGTACTCGCACCAGTCGCACTTCACGGGGTAGATGTAGAAGAGAACGGCCAGAGCGGAGAACAGACCCAGGAAGATCAGCAGGAAGACGCAGATTTGGACTCGCTTTCGGTACATATCGGAACGGCCGAAACTGGTGGGTGAAAAAAACAACAACAAAACAACAGTGACATCATTGCTTCCCTCAGAGAACTGTCATTGTTTCGCATCAAACCTCTTAAATCATGAAAGAGATGAAGGGAGTGAAAACTGCATATAGACGGAGGTCAGACTGAGGAAACGTTCAGTCAAAGGAAAGAATAAAGAATCTAGAGGTAAGCCAAGTGAATGCTAAGCTAAGCTAACTAGCGCCAGCTTAATTTAGCTTTAAATATAAAGTGGCAACAGTTTTCAGTCTCTTCAATTTCCACAACATGTGAACCATTCCTTTCATTTCTTTATATTTTGCTTCCAAGGAGTCAGACCTTCCTTCAGCAATAGTCCTCCAGGCTTTCTGAAGGTCTTTCAAAGCTTTTCTTTGGACACTGACTGCTTTTTCACTCGTATTCAGAATCTGTTTTAAACTGTATCTTTAGGCACTTTGTTACTAGCAGCCTGTCTTAAAAAACATAGAAAAGATAAAAGAAAAGAGGAAAGGAGAAGTAGTAGAAGCAGATAAACAGTAGATGAAAGCGTTTAAGAGATGCATCTGGCCCTTCAGTTAATCCCTCTACTCCATCAGACAACACTGAGGTATGCTAGCTACACAAGAGCTACACAAGAGCTGGACTGAACACACATAAAAGTGCGGTCACATTTTGACCTACCATGTAATACCACCTAGAAAGCATCTGATTAGCAGCTGCTTCATTTCTTAGCATCAAAATAGCCTCGAATGTACTGCCAATGCAGTAAAGCCTGGATAGAAAAGCACACAGAGCAATAATCACTTACCTGATGTATGGGAGGAAGGCAAAGGACAGGAAGAATCCGGAAACGAAACCACAGATGTGGGCAAAGTTGTCGATCCAGGGAAGCAAACCGAAAGAGAAGAAGAACACAGAGATGGCCAACAGCTTAGCAAACGCTCGCCACGGTCGCTCGAGGATCTGCCAGCTCTGAAACAGCTCCACAAAAAGACAAGCCAGGATGCCGAACTGGCTGCCAGCAGGACCCACCTGCAAGGAAAAAGACAGGCACCTATAGATCGCACACAGATCGACTAAATGAAAACAATGTATAACTATGATGTTTTTTGGTAACATCAACATCAGCTTGTACCTCTGCTCTATAGGGCAGGAAGATGGCAGAGGCCAGGTTGCCAGTGATGCCACTGAGCATGTAGATAATAGAGATTCTGAGCCAGCCAGCCAACTTCTCTATATCCCTCAGCACCGTCATCTGGAACAACACCGAAACCAAGCAGTGCAGAATTCTGCAGGGACAAGACAGGCAACCAGTTATCCTTAACATTCCACAAATGCATGCACAATTTCACTGAAGTATTCAGGCAACTAAGTTTTTCCCATAATTTAACATCTTCATGGCTGCTTTAAATACTGAAGGGAGAAAGGAAGAGTGCAGTCACCCAGCATGAAGAAACAGGGACAACCAGAGCCGAGAGAACTGATCAGGGACCTCTGGGTTGAGGAAAGGCAGCAAACCGCAGACATCGTCCATGCAGGCCACCTGCGACCAATGAAAACAACAATACAATCAGTCAGGGTTACGGCTACAACAGTCAGTGATGCTCTGCTGCCACCTTATGGTGGAACATGCCAGAGGTGAATGCAGTCCACAGTCCATTCTGTTGCATTGTGCACTGCAGGCTCCAGTGGCGCAATCGGTCAGCGCGCGGTACTTATACGACAGTAACCTGCAGAGCAATGCCGAGGTTGTGAGTTCGAGCCTCACCTGGAGCAACAATGTTTTAAATCACCAGGCTCTCACTTAAAGGAGCAAATTTACACTAGCCACTGTTTTTAAACATGCAGGTAAAGGTGTGTGCGTGCTGTTTGTCCTACCTGTGAGCAGAGAGTAGCCTCCTCATGGAAGTAGCCATGCATAAAATCACAGTACTCTCTAGAAGTTATTTCACACCTGCAACACGAATTCAGGTTTTTAAGTAGAGATCAGAGTACTAATCTTTTATTCAAACACATTTATTATGTAATCAAAAGGTGGATCAGTTCCTTTTTTCACTGCACCATAAAGATGTGTTGTAAATAAGTGATCCCGATCCTCACCGTCCTTTGGTTCCGATGCAGCAGGGCCGGCCTGTGATGGTGCAATCAATGTGGGGGAGGTTAGTGTGATTCCCAGAGTTGAACCTTGTGCAAACCTACAGATCAAAACCACAGTGAAAGTTTCTCATCGGATTACATGTCTGTGAAGGTTCTCAGTCATCCAGGTCATCGTAGTCAAAGGAGCTTGCAAAGAAAAGCGTCTGGACTTCTTTAAGTTACT